ATAGATAGATAGATAGATAGATAGATAGATAGATAGATAGATAGATAGATAGATAGATAGATAGTTAAAGCGTTCGTCAGTCTGAACGCCTTGGTCAACAAAACGAGCACACCCTCCCACGAAGCTGAACTTGAGGCGTCCGGTTTGTGATTTCAAAGTAAAATATTACCGACAATGTTATGATTAAAATTAGCCACACGATGTATACGTTTGTCCTAMTACCGTATTATAATTAACTGACATTATATTTGTACACTTAACGATAACTTGCTCATAATGTGTTTTACTCTCAGAGTTTAAAGTGAAATTATTTGTTTTATTTTGAAACGAGCACCATCAACATCCGGTTTGGCTAACTCCTGTTAGCTTGACGCGGTCAGTGGGTGTTGACATGTCAGCTGATTGCGGCATGTAAAGCCTCTTGTTTAGGTAGCTTAGCTTCGTTTGGTGTTTGTTTTTGTCGTGAGTTAGGTGGCSTCGAACCGAACCTCACTGTTTCACACATATTTAACTTTTCAGCGCACTTCCGGTCTCCGTCAGCGCCTCCGGTGCTGTTGGTTTTCGGGGCGAGGCTCCTGTCGGTGGAGCTCTTTCTGTTTTCTCTCTCTCTCTCTCCGGGAGGGCAGGACTGAGGTTCCGACAGGCTCTGCTGCATTGCAGCCCGGTGTTGCTCCGCCGATGGAATTCAAACACACAACAATGGCGACTCCCGGTCCAAACGGCTCCTCCTCGGCACCCAGCGGTACCGCGGGACCCGCCGCGCACCAGTACCATCCACAGCAGTCCCAGCACATCACCACCATGAGCAGCCTGCAGGGTGAGTGGGAGCCGGGCTGGGGGGCTCCTCTGAAGGTTAATGTTAGCACAGCTAGCCGGGGGAGGCCACTCCCGAAGAAACAGCTAGCTGAGCTAAAATCATCATTTAGCCATAATGTACAAAAGTACTGCATGGATTTTTTTTATTATTTCTCGTTTTGAAGCTTTTCTACGTTATTAAAAATATTTATTTAATCCAATCTGTTGGTATTTTAATGACCAAAACATTAGAGCTTAAGTGACTGAAATGAACTGTTTGGGTTCATGAATTGGACTTTAGGGACCAGGATCTTCATTTAAACCTGACCTGATTTGATTGGATGATAAATATGAATGAAATGATTAAAAAGAGCTTTTTCACTGCAGCTGTGCTCACCTGAGACCTGAAGCTGTTTGTGAACTGAGTTAAACTGATCTGAAATAAATAAATAAACAAACAAACAAACAAACAAACAAACTGATCCCACCTTTCAGGCTGGATTTCTGAGCAAACTTTTATTTTATCTTTCAGATTCCAACACCTGCTGGAGATGTCAGAGTGAAACAGGTACACACACACACACACACACACACACACACACAC